TATAAGCTTTCACTGTTTCACTTCATCGTCTAGACATTTCGTTGCACTCTCAATGTACCATTGTATTCTTAAAGGAAGCCAGTTTGACAAAGGATTAAAATTTTGAAACAACTGGCAAAATATGATGCTTCTTCTATTTTTACTACTAACATTCAACTCAATATAATTTTTAGGTAATCATGAAATAAATAGTTATCTGTTTGCCCCTAGGAAAAAAATTATGTTTTGTAAGATTTTATGTGAAAAATACAAGTAATGATACATTTTCCAAAGAAACTATTAATGTTATAAAATTTCTTTATAGTGCAGCTTCCTTTGAAATAAATATGTGCCAAAGCCAGGGATTAACATTGTCTACATTACTGATGCCATTTCTTTTTGAGAATCCCGGTATTTGGTGGTAATTTTTAAACTGCAGCATCAATAAGTATCAGAGCTCTTTGCATTTCCTGCCCAAAATTATGCTGATCGTCAAGTGATGACATTTGTATTTGTTATGTAGTGGCATTCTACAATATATTCTCTTTTTGGCTATTTAATATATATATCACAACTATATAGAATACATGTGTGCCTATATATATATATAGTTAATCTTGAGTTTTTCACATTGGAGACAGTTATTTTCATTAATCTTGAGTTTTTCTTAGAACTAATAGTTGTGAGAAAATTATGAGGCATGGGTAGAATGCCTAAAATGCCCCAGCATCACTTACTTAACTTTCTTTGAAAGACTTCTTTAGCTTCTGTGGTCTCTGGATTCTTTGAGGTTTCAAAATAGCAAATTCAAAATCTAATCAGGAAAAAAATGCTTGCAGGCTGAAAAATGGCCCCCAAAACCAGGACTCACCAAGGCAGTGTAGGAGCTGCTAGTGTCCTAAGTTACTTGTTAATAAAATCGACATGGAGAACATCATGCTGAGTGAAATGAGTAAGAAGGAGGGAGATAGACATAGAATAATTGCACTCATTTGTGGGATATAAAAAAAGTCATAGTATGAGAAAAATATCCAAGGACAGTAGAAAAAAGGTTCAGGAGGACTGGTGTAAAGTTGGAAGCTTACCACAATTGGTGAGGGAGGTGAGGGAGAGGGCAGCTACATTAGAGAAGAGACCACTATGACAATGACAGTTGAAATAATCACTCCGGACAAGAATTGAGTGCTGAAAGTAGGTAAAGGAATATACATATTACCTTATAGCATAGGTAATACTGCAAACCATAATGACCAAAAGTGGGAAGAAAGGGAGGAAGGGGGGAGAGAGAGAGAGAGAGAGAGAGGAGAGAGAGAGAAAGGAGAGAGAGAGCGCACCATAGAGGCAGATTGGGAGTGGGGGTGGGTTGAAGGAGAGAAACTGGGGCATTTGTGGTGGGAAATATACATTATTGAGGGGATGGGTGTTGGAACATTGTATGACTGCAACCCAATAGTGGGTGACTTTTTAACTGTCTCGTGGTGATTTGATTTTAAAAATTAATAAAATAATGCTGCAGGCCATGGTACACATAAGTTGGGTGTGTTGTAAATGCTTCCTTCAATATTTGGCACTAAATTCTCTTCTTTTATTGATATAGCATGGATTACAGCAGTAGTATTATTTAGGCAATAGAATACAATGTTATTGCACTACATTCACCACTGAAGTACCAATATCTCGCTACTGTCCCTTCAGATAATAATAGCACTATGAGACCATGAGAAGCAGTGTGGGACAGAAGTATAGACATAGCTTATTCCTGTAATTTAATTTTGGAACAAGACACCACAGTATATAAAGACAAGAGAGGGCAACAAAGTTAGAATGAAAGTTTAACACCATCACTGTTCTCTTGATAGCATATATACCATGATTCAAAAAGAAATACAAAGAAGGGAAGGGTGGACCCAATACAAAGCTTCCCTTGTAATGTTCCAAAATACCTGCATAGATTCACAGTCACTGGAACAGCTGTAACAGACAACTAGGTATCTCAAATTCAAAGTGGCCTCTTACCCTTACATTTAATCTTCAGGTCCTCAGTTTTGGCAGAGGAGGGAACTTTCCAGCAGTGCTTAGGATGCCCATGGTCCATTCCTCATTCTACTCTCGCTGATTGTGCAGGGTTTATAGTTCATTCTCAGGGCCAAATAGTTCTGGGCACGACCAGGAACATACTTGGGATGCTTAGGGGTCCAGGTGGTATCAGGGATCCAACTCAACTATCCTAGTATCTGCAAGACCTGTGTTCCAGCTCTCTGAGCTATCACTCCAATTCTTCCTTAGATCTTTATTTGTATATACATTTGTAGTTACTGTTTGGGGGCTACACCTAGCTGTGCTCCAGGTTTACTTCTGGCTCTGCACTCAGGGATTATTTCTGGTGGTAGAGACAATATGGGATGCTTGGGAACAAACTCTGGTTGACCTGTAGCATACTATCTATTCAGTCCCTCATTTTTGTTACTTTCACCCCCATTTTAGGTTAAGATGTTTATAACTGTTAAGTAAGAATAAATAAGACTAAATCAACACATAACAAATATTTGAAGTTGAAGGAATGAAGTGTGGGGTGAAGATAGAGCAGACCGTATTTACAAATTGTCAAAGTTGTCTGGAGAGTTGATCTTCTCTGGGAGATTAACAGTACAAAAATCATGTACAGCGGGGCTATTTCTTCTCATGTAGAAGAATGATTTTTATTGAGGTAGTATTAGTTTATAATAGTCAATAATTGAGGAGTAAAAAATTATAATTCAGCATCTGAATATATCATTTGACTCACCCCTCAATCTTCTTCCACTCTGATAACGAGTAATCTGTTTGTTTCTGGCATCTAAAACTTTATTTTTGTTTTATATGTCTGCTTGTTTTATTTCTTTTTATTTCACATATGAATAAAATCATTCAATATTTGTTCTTTTAGTTTTGGGTGCTACACCCGTGATGCTCAAGTTTTTGACTCTGGGGACAACATAAGGTGCCAGAGATGATTATGTGCAAGGAAGGACCTTCTTCACTGTACTATCTCAGTGGCCCTATTTGTTCTTTCTTCATCTGATATATCATTTAGTTTAATAATGTTAAAGTCTTTCATGTTGTCATGAATGGCACAAATTCATCCTTCTTTCTAAATTGCCTATATATATATGTCATATTATTTTTATCCATTCATTTGTTCATGGATATTTAGGCTGTTTCCATGTTGTAACTATTTGTCAGTAAAGAAGCAGTAAACATAGAATTTAATATATCTTTTCAAGTTTTTGCTTCTTTGAATAAATACCCAGAAGCAGATTAGCTGTATCATATGGCAAATCCATTCTTAATGCTGGGGGAATCTCCGTACTGTTTTATGTAGTGGTTGCACCAATTTGTATTCCCACTGATTGGTCACTGAAATCATTGATTTTCTCTCACAGTAATGATGGACATCTCTGTGTATGCCTGTTGGCCATCTTTATGTTTTCTTTGGAGAAATGTCTATCCAGGCTTCTTCCCCTTTAAAAAACAGGTGGTTTTGTTGTTGCTAAGTGGAAATATTAATTTTGACATACCTTGATATGGAATAGAATATAAAACCAATGTGTTTATTATTTTCTTTTCGACTTTTATTTCATGCTCTAGAGGTAAAGATTAGAAAAGAGTAAATAGGGGCTTTCTACTCTTCGTTATACCTTTGTCCATCCCATTGTCACGTATTTATTCAGTTCACTTTCTTTCCATTATAATTTATTGATCACCTGCCTGTGCATCAGGCATTGCAAGGAGAGTAAGAAAGATAAATTATACTATCTCTCTCTTGAAGAATGTGGGGAGAAGATTTCTAGCAGAAAGCTCAGATACTAGGCACCTCTGAGTAAATACCCTAAGAGACTTAGAATCAGAAGCTTACTTCAGAGAGGGAGCAAGTGTTCAGGAAGTCTTGGAAGATCTGTGACTGAGGTCCAGTCTAGCTAATTACTGTGTCCTTCCCTGGCCATGCTCATAACAGAGTAAAGGGACTACTCAGAAGTTTTTCACTTTTCTTTTTCCAAAATGGGTGAGGGTGCTAATGGAGGGAGACTGTTCCCAATACTAGAAAAAAAAGGGGGACAGCAGGAGGCCTGGGTCAATGGCCCCTAGAAAATTGAGAATTGACCTTACTTAGAGGAGATAAGAAAGAGCTTGCACATTTCTCCATTAGTGTACCACCTAATTTCAGCTAAGTCTTGTTGAGGAAAATTGGCCACTTATCTTGTCCTCTAATGACTCCTGGCTTTGCTATAACTGATAGTGTTATTTTTCTGAAAGTTTAAGCTTTGGGACATAAAGTTTGGAACTCAGAACAGGAGGGACCTTTTCTAACCTTAAAGCATGATGACGTGTGGAATATGCAACTCTTTTGAGGAAGCAGCAGCAGAGTAGGTTTTGTTTCTATTTTGTTTTTAAAATTTCTGCCCAAGCCATTGACGCACATGGGGTGTGAAAGGAAAACCCAGTATTCTCTATTTCCATTTAAGTCAGTCATGTTTTCATTTTTGTCTCCACTATCACCTAGCACTTGAAATAGAAAATATATGTAATTTATCCATCTGCACAAAGATTTCCCTTGGGTCATATTTTAAAACTTGATGAAAAAAACCTTTTGAGGGTTGGATAAGACTTCTGAGAAAGGAATTGTTTTTGGTATGAAGTGATAGGGATCGATGAAAAAAATTTTTCACTGACCCCCTGAGGCAAAACGGCCAGATCACTTTCATCCTGATTGAAAATAAGGTATTTTAATATACATATTGCATGAGGCAGATGTTTGTAATCCAATGTAGATTATCACTACCAAGATTTGAAATGTAACTGTTGAGATATTTCCCTGTAGGAATAAAATGATCTTGTTACAAGAGTAGTAACTGTAATCAGAAATATTGAATTGACCCATCTCCTTTTTTTGTTCCTCACATTTTCTTCTCCTCAGAATTGGAGGGTGGAGGGTGGGGGGAAAGGCAGAATTGACACTTTTCTTTTTCTTTTTCTTTTTTCAGATTCAGAAGAGTAATAAACACCTCATATACAATAAAAGAGGCTGCCACAATGTCTTGCATCATTTTAGCTGAGCTTCTTCATTCTTCTCCTTCTTCCACAAAGACCTCTATCTGAGAAAGGTGTTCAACTTTCAAAAACAAGCCCCCACACTTTGCCTTCTCTCATGCCATCCCCTCTTGGACACTGAGTCCCTGGGTGTTGGTTTGGGATCTTAGATATTGGGGGATTTTTCCCTGAGAAAACAACACAACTTGATTTTTTTTTGGCACAAACTGAAATAAAACATGAAGGTACTTCCTCAAAATCCTTTGCTAATGCCCTGGCTTTCAAGGCACCTGTCTGGCCTCATGAGAATGGACATCCGAGATGTGCTGAGAGAGGCCTGAAAAAGCCACACACACAGTAATCACCATGTCATTACTGTCGATGTCAATTTCCTTCAATGTTGTTCCTTTCTGAGCTGACTACTACTGATGGAGACAGCCAAGCTGGCCTTTATCACAGCCAAAAGGATTATTACAGTCTCTGGTTGTTCCTTTCCCAAGTCAGGAATATACTTTGTCTCTAATTTCCCCTCACATTTAAAATTTTGTTCTTACGATTTTTGTTCCGTTTATATAACATGATTTTCTTGGTTTTTGAAAACAGGGAGATTATATTGTAGGATTCTTTTCTTGATGTTAAATTATGCTTGGATTCATTAATATGAGTTTGAATGTTTCTCTGCTGGCCACAGTAATCAGATAGAAATCCCTATGTTTTGTTGGGCAACAGTCATAACTTCTACCACTGGTTGATCCTCTTTTGGCTGTTGTTGGTTTGATTTAACCGTTCTTCCTTCCATTCAGGAAAGTGTTAATGGGATTCTTATCCTGGAAAAATGTTACATAATTCTTTTCCTTTTAATGAGTCTTGAGAAAAATGAGGTAGGAAATTAATAGCACAAATAAAAAATAAGATGAATAGATGTAGTGTGGAAAGAGAATAAAAAAGATCGCCCCTAAAACAAAATGGAATTTAAAAAATGGAAATTGGGACTGGAGCGACAGCACAGCAGGTAGGGCATTTGCCTTGCATGTGGCCGACCCAGGTTCGATTTCCCAGCATCCCATATGGTCCCCCAAGCACCTCCAGAAGTAACTCCCCCTGTGTATCGCCCAGTGTGACCCAAAAAGCAAAAAAAAAAAATGGAAATCAGTGGAATGTAAGTACAGTGTAATTTCATGGATCCGAAGTGCTATGATTTGGATGCAACCAATTCTTTAAATGTGGTTGTGATATACAGAAAAACCTTTGAGTAAATCACATTAAGATGCTGGTGATGGAAGGGGATTAGTAGTAGGAAGAGATTAAGTTCAAAAACAGATAAAGTGTCTGCCTTATTGCCAAATTAAATTTCTACTAAGCACAAAAAAAGTTTGATCCTTTTATTAATAATAAAAAATACTATATCTTCAGCCAAATAGGAGACCATGTCGATAGTTTACAAGAACTTTTGTGTCACTAAAGTATCCCCCAACAGAATGTTCTGAAGAAATGAATCTATCGTACAGAATACACAGTGGCATATTGGTATTTAAACAGGATGCTTTGGAGAACTTGATGTTTCGCTTCTTAATAACCATTTTTCCTGTTGCCTTCCCCACCCTGCTTTTCTGACCATAACTGTGGTCAAATAGATGAATAAATCCAGAATGGTGGTGGCAATGGCTTCACAATGGACTGTGTTGTCAGCGAGTGTGGAGGAGCAGGAGGGATGGTGATTAATGTATGGACCTAAAATGGCACTTGGTAGTCAGTTACAAGCTCCGTACTCCATAGGAGGGGTATTGTAGATACCTAGGAGTTTATATAAGCCCTTTCCAGATTTGAAAATATTGGTAACTAATTCAGAAACTTAAAACACTATGCTAGTCATAGAAAATATGCCTATGACCTTCACCCAGTCCATAGGACATGCAAATGATGTTTTTTGAGGTGAGATAAATCTGTTAGGAACAGAATCCAGCAAGTGCATGCCAATTCTTAACGTTAGAGCCAGAATCTTTTACCTCATTTCTATTCTGTATTTTTCTACTTAACTGCTTTGCAGCCAGTCACAATAGAAAGCCAACTTCCCTTTTGTATTTTATCAAACAAGACTAAACAATGTTTGAAAAGGAAATAGGAATAAGCCATTTTTTTCTAGCACCACTAAAGACGAACTTGCTTGGCATTCATTCATTAAATGATAAAGAATGGGAAGGGAATTTAGTACAGAACCCTGCCAGTAATTATCAATGTGAGAAAACAAAATCTCTGTGTAAATCTTTTGTTTTTTCATTCTCAGAAAGTGTTTAGAGGGCACACTGAGTAAAATTGCAAAATTCTCTGTTTAAAAAATGTTTGAATTGATACGGAAGCTGATGAAACATTAGATTAATGACTCCCAGTCAGTGCTGGAAGAATAGTATTTCCAAAGCTCTAGCTCACATGTTTGTGGTTTCTGCTTTTGAAGTAGCTTCCTCTAAGGGGAATAACATTATGGTACACATGCTTCGACCACACAGATTATGGCCTTTTATGCCATGTTCCACGGTCACAGAGAAAACAAGGGTTAAACAGCAGAGTGACAGATTAATGCTGAGGGCTGGAGCGATAGCACAGTGGGTAGGGCGTTTGCCTTGCACGCGGCCAACCTGGGTTTGATTCCCAGCATCCCATATGGTCCCCCGTGCACTGCCAGGAGTAATTCCTGAGTGCATGAGCCAGGAGTAACCACTGTGCATCGCCGGGTGTGACCCAAAAAGCAAAATAAAAAAAAAATCAAAAGGTTAATGCTATGTGGGAAAGCAGTAAAAGCATTCCCATCCCTGATGCAAGTTCCAAGTGTCCTTTGATGGAAACTGACAAGTGGATTTGGCCCTTGAGTTTGAGTCCTCATGTCACCAAACAATTCTCACATCCAGGTTTTGTCTGTGCTTTGTTTCTGTGGTATCATCACCCACTCTTTGGGAGTTGTGTTTGTCCATCTTTTATTCATCAATCTTTCTTAGGTTACAAGCCCTGATAGCCATGTCAGTGGGCAAGGGACTCATTTCTAACATGTTAAATTCAAAGGTATTTTTTTCACTGTCAATTCCTTTCTTGGAATTAAAAAAAAAACTATTGGTAACATCTGACAGGATCCCATTAAGGACCTGATCTACTTAAACAATAAAATGTTACCTAAACATCTGAGAACCAAAGAATAATCTGGTGCACCTGTTCATTTCATTTGCAGAATTAAAGCCATTTTATTATATTTTCCACCTGGAACCCTGCCTTTTGTAATTGTGAAAAACTGAAGAGTGAAATTATCACAGGATGTGAGCCAACAAGTAAATAAAAAGATGGAGAGCAATTTTGTAATCTATGTTTTGGGAGTAAGACTGTGGTCCTTTAAAATCACTTCTTTTATAGATAATTTTTCCAAAGATAGCTAGAATGTGGAATATATGTTCTTCTATTCTTAGCTTCTGAACAGAAGCTTACATAATAGAAATGACTTCATGGCATGTCCCATGGAGTTTGGGAGAAAACAAAAACAAAACCAGAAGCACAAAATATCTTTCACAATGAGATAGAGGAGATTCTGAAATAAATGCTTATGTTGTATTATAGCAACTAACCCAAATAAAGGGAGTTTGGGGGATCAAGGAAAGTTTATTTTTCCAGTTGGACACTTTGCTCTGATTTGAAGGGCTCGACAGTTCCCCGCGGGAGCAGCAAGCTGCATGTCCCCCACAAAGAGACTGACTCTGAGACCACGTTCAGGAAACACAAAAAAATGTGCTGCTGGGTCTCACTCCCCACGCAAGTGCAAACAAAGTTCCAGTTTTCCTGTTATTTTACTCAACATCTGCCATACAGGTGAAGCAGATGACAACTAAGTAAGTGTGGACATAACCTTCAGTTTATGATAAGCAATGGGGAATTGTCGGTAGTTTAGGAGAAACTGTTAGAACTCCATTGATGAAAAACAAAACACTCAAACTTGCCATCATTAACTCTTAGATTTTAGAAAAACAAAGCAAGATTTTTCTGGGAGTAGTTTTTCAAAAGGGAAGATAACAAACATTTTTATGAAATACCCGTGGACTTACTTATAATCCAAGTTGAAACTTTTAAAATACTAATACACTCTTGGGGAGAAAATAGGAGGTCCTATATAGGAAATATAGAAAATCATTGTCTTGTTTTTCTCTGTGACTATTGTGGTTAGTATAGCACTGAATATAGCAAAATTAGATATCAAAGAACATACTATTTCAATAGCAATGTTATATTTGATCACATGTGTGAATAAATGGAGAGCAATCATTGTAATTCATCAATAGCAATCATTGACTATTAGCTTCATTGTCTCTTAGAAAATGAACTTGATACAAAAATTAGAATGAGCCACAGATTTTATGTGAAAATATCATTCTGAGAATCAAAGGACCCATTACCTTCCAGAACTAGGTTTCAGCTTTTGAGGTTTCCTTTCACCAAAGATAACTTGTAGGCAAAGAGGTGACATGTGAATTACAATGGTAGCAGCCCCATCTAGGACTTTTGACAGAGTACATTTGATGTGGAGTTCAGTCCAGGGAGGTGAGAAAAATGGGAAGTAGGCCCCTGAAAGATTTCAGTGGCCTCTGGATGGTCTTAGTGGACATTTTTAAAAGACTGCACACTACCCTAGGATAGTTTGTAATAAGCTAAAATTGTTTCATTGAAGGTAGGTGTTGGTTTCATGCCCAGATACGAGTGAGGTACAATGGGAGATCTGGCTTGCAAGAGTCATGAAAGTTCATTTCAGCATCAATTCCTGATCTGCAAATAATTTCCTCACTTCAGCCATTTTTCTGGTATTTCCCAAAAGCAACTGGATTTGGCATTTGAAATTCACATTTATCATAGCTTCTATCTCCAAGCAGAAGTGAATTGATACTGTTGGTGGCTGGGAGGGACCACAGAGGCACTGAGTGGGGCTTCTCAGCTCTCTCTCTCTTAGTCAGCATCCTTTGGGGAGGTAAATACTGGGTAGCACTGTTCTCCCGTTGTTCACCGATTTGATCAAGCGGGCCCAGTAACGTCTCCATTGTGAGACTTTTTGTTACTGTGTTTGGCATATCGAATATGAATACGTCATGGAGAGCTTGCCAGGCTTTGCTGTGCAGGCGAGATACTCACGGTAGCTTGCCAGGCTCTCCGAGAAGGATGGAGGAATCAAACTTGGGTTGGCCAGGTCGGCTGCATGCAAGGCAAAGGTCCTACCCGCTGTGCTATCGCTCCAGCCCAAATACTGGTAAATACCCTTCAGTAGGGTAAATACTGGGGTAACAGACCACTGAGCTCCAGGACCTCTCTACCCTTGTATCTCCATGGGAGGTGACTTCCAAACTCACGATGCATTACTTGGTGAGATCATGGTTCAGGATAACTCACTTAAAACCTATTACCCAAAAAATAAATTAAGAAATTTTTAAAAACATGTGTGTAACTTTTGCCTCTTGGGGGAAAAATAAAGCCTTTTAAAACTATAACTGTCAAATAGTCTTGAAATTGATTGCCAGGAGAAAAACACATAGTTGTATATTTGCTGCTCTGTCATATGTATCATACAAAGAATAGGGATTTGAGTAACAGTGTCCTTGTCGTTGAGTGGATATATATGTGATGTGTCAGAAACAGTCACATGCCAATATACATAAATTGATAGTGAAAATCTACGACCATGGGTATCCTCCAGCATCTGATTCTAGGACTAGATCTGTAAAGTACACATTTTCCTTTCTGTCTTCCTTTAATATTTTTATACAATTTTATATGCTGTAAAATTTTTTAAAATATTTCTATTTTTATTTGTAGAACTCAGTTCAGTTTTTATCAGCTCTGGTACCCACTGTACAGCCAGATTCCCCCACCCCCACCCCACTTTACCTAATTTAAACACCCTCTCCTTTTCATGCTCTTCTGTCAACCTCTCCCTTGTTTTTCTGCCCTTTGCAAATTCTTTATTTTGCTTCTGTCTCAGCAAGTCATTTTGCTCTTAGCATCTTTATGGCAAATGAAAACCCATAGTAATGGAATAAAGCCAGAGTGTCTTGTTCTGATATATCTAATTGAGGAAATGTCAGGGCCAAAGGAGATGGGCGAGGGGGAAATATTTAGAGAAAATGAAGCAGGAAAAATGAGACCCTTGAGGGAGACCCATTCTCTAAAGTAAGGTGGGCCCCTTTGGAGCTAACATAACGCTCTTATTATTTTCTCTACATATAGCAGAGAGATATTCTGCTGTTACAGGAGTTTTCTCTTTTGAATGCTATGCATTACCATTGGTTTGTAGACTTTCCAAATAAGGGAACTTGCCATAAGATGAGTGGATATATCAGCTCATCTCTTCAGCCTTACATTTGCTGCCCTTCAGCTGCATCTGTAGGACGTATCCAAAATATTAAAAATGTTTTAAAATACTCAAGAAAGGAAGCGAACAGAACCGAATTCCTAAATCTCAATCCAAATCATGCCAAATGAATAACTTTCTGGAGGAACAAGGAAGGGATTTCTGGTTGTGTTCTGAGGATGCTCTCCTAAAAGGAAGTTGATAAAGCAAACTTGGTGTGGTTTTACTGCAGTGAGTGAATGTATTTCTGTGATTAAAAACTGTTTCTAGCAGAAAAAAAAATGTGAGTTCCACTTTGCATTTGTTATCATAGGGCTAAATAATGGCTGTCTGTTCTAAAGAAGAGTGTTTGGTTTCCTATGATGTGGATTTCTCTAAACAGACTATTCAGGTACCATAGCATCACATCTCCAAATACAAAAATAAATCATTTAAATTCATGTAAAACATAATATGCTAACCTACTCTTAATAAATCCAAGATGTGTCTATTGTAAGTCTTTATTGCACAGATGATACTGACAGTTCCTCAATGCATAATCTCTCCCCAGCATCTAGTAATGAATAAGTACTTGTATGTTCGTCTAATTACCAAATAAAAATATTGAGTTGACCTCACTGGTTGAAATTTAAAAATCAACAAGGCTGTCATCTCTTTCTTTTAATGCTTTATGTTGTTGTTCATGTTCTCTGCCAGATGTGGGGCTTCCCAAAATCACTCAGCTGTCTACCTCTCTTGTATTCCTCTAGACAGCACATTAATTCCAGGTCCTAACTGCTTTTGCCTGTACTCTAGAAGATGTGCATAGAATATCACATGTCAGAGATTCTTTCTGACATTGAAGAATGAGGTGGATAGGTTATCAGAAGCCCAGAGAGGGAAAGGAAATCCACATTCATGGAACTAGGCTAGTTTTCATGTGTTCAGTTTATCTCTAGATTTTACAAAGATTAGCTCAGATATATGGATTTATTTAGATATGGTGTTATAGTCTAAGTTTTAAAGTTCCAAAATCCCTTTCTTTTTCTTTTGAAATAACTACTTTGGAAATATTTTCTTTCTCTCAAGCCACAAATACAAGGAGTCTTTTAGAGCCAGCAAGATAGTACTGCAGATAAGCTTCTTGCCTTGCATGTGGCTGACCCAGGTTCAATTCCTGGCACTCTATATGGTTCTCCAAGCACTTCCAGGAGTGATCCCTGAGTGCAGAGGAAGGAGTAAGCCCTGAATACTGCCACCTGTGTCCCCCAGACCAATATGGAGTCTGAAGAGAGATTGATCATTAGCACTGTTTGTTGGGCATACAAGTGGTTTGTATACAAATGGCCCCCTCAAACCAGCCACTAAGAGGGACTTCCTCATGTGGATACCCTTCATTTTACACATACAGCACTCTGATCTGGGCCAACTCCTTGTATTGTTCCTGTGCAGTTTTTCAGCCGGATTATTACATTTGCCAATGAGTGTGTGATGGTCTTTCATTCACGGAAATAATATTTTTGTATCCCTTTAGGAAACAAAACCATAGTTTGCTAATTTTAAAAAATAAAGAGAAGTAGGCACAGAGAGTGGCAAAGGTACATATCTGCCATGTATCTGACCTGGGTTTCATTTCTTATACCGCCCGACCTCCGAAACATCACCAACTATAGCCCTAGAGATCCCCACTGGGGTGCATCATTGGGCCTTAGCACTTAACCACTGATCCATTGGTCAAGTATTGTAAGTACATTCTACCTGGGGATAGACCCCCCTAAGTCATATATAAAAGTATAAAAATACTAGAATCTCTCATACTACTGCACTCATGCCTGCTATTTTCTGAGGCCTCTTTAACTACCCGGTTTTACACCATAAGGCCATACACTACTATATTTGACATTATACTATGGTTTGTTTAACATTAGTTAGAAGCACTATCCCGCTTTGTTTTGTTCAGTACAATTGACAGTACTTGGGGCTGACTCCTGGCTCTGTGGCTTAGTGCTCCTTGAGGAACCATATACATACAGTGCCAGAAACTGAAGCTGTTTACCCAGTCTATCTCTCTGCCCCAAATAAAAAAGTCCTATTTAAAATAAAATAAAATAAAAACAAACTAATATCACTTCAGTAGCAGCATATTTTAGAGTGAATCTAGCACAGTTTACTTACTTTTACTTTATTTTTTTATGTTGAGAATGGCAGGGCTGGAGCGATACCACAGTGGTAGGGCATCTGCCTTGCGCGCAGCCAGCCTGGCCAAGCCGGATTCGATTCCTCTGCCCTTCTTGGAGAGCCCGGCAAGCCTCCGAGAGTGTCTTGCCCGCACTGCAAAGCCTGGCAAGCTACCCGTGACGTATTCAATATGCCAAACACAGTAACAACAAGTCTCAAAATGGAGACGTTACTCGGCCTGCTCGAGCAAAATCGATGAACAATGGGAGGACAATGACAGTGATAGTTGAGAATAGCAATGAATTGGGGTTATTTGTGCATAATTCTTTGTTATATTTTGGAATAAGACAAATTCCTGGATAAATAATCATTGTATCAAAGGATGTTACCATATTTTTTCAGACTCCTTCACCTGCTTCATTCTATTCAAAGAGTAAAACAGCCATAATTAGAAAGTATATAGCCTTGCATATCTGAATAGCTCTTGTGTTTAGTTTCATTGTTCCTTGTGATAAAGAGATCATGACACCAAAGCAGTCTCATGGTGATTGTAGTGAGAAAGAAGAAGATTATTAAACACTATGAATGTGCAGTTTTGATTTCTATACAATTGAAAAAAATTCTTAGAGAAATACAAGCAAGTTTAAAACTCTGTCTACTCTTTCAGCAATTCCATGACCCTAAGCAAATCTTAAGCTTTTTTTGATGTTCTTTTTTTCAAGACCATAAAGGGGCTCAAATAATGATGTGACTTGAGGCATCGGGCAGTTGTCCTCTGTGATGGGCCAGGGGGACTGCAGAGAAGATGTCGGGGGATATGCTTGCTTGTAATATGCTGTGCAAAAATTGGCAGAAACTTCCTTTTTCAATCTTGCAGCCTCCATGCCTGCCCTATGGGACCTGGTTGTGTGATAATAGCATTGCTCTTGTTGGACCATTACTAACAGTGATCTTGTCACTCTCAAGAGATTTGAAATTACCCTTTCCCAGTAGGCCTGGGCTTCGCTGTGTTAACCCTATTTTGCAGAAGTGAAACTGTTTTAGGTCAAACTACACATCCCTGAGGGTCAGTGCAAACGTCTGGGACATAGGTGTGTATTTGCCCCCAATGCTGGCAGCCTTGTTGTCACTACCATCATTCTTTTCTTCTCCAGACTCTTGATGAATTCGATTTGTTGCCCTTTAGCTGAGGCAACCAAGGGCATTAATTTGAAATATCTGAAGGCTATTCGTTTGTCAAAAGATACTTCCAGTCATACATAATGTGGTGATGGCATTTCTGCCCTGAGCTGACTGATTGGGTTGTTTATTCTCCATATATTCACATGCCTCAGTTGAGTACAGTGTAATCTGTGACCTGAAAATGCCTAACTTCCTTCAATGAGAACATATTAGACACACACACACACACACACACACACACACACACACACACACACACACGCGTGCGCGCACATGCACACATAATATACATATATATACTTAAACATTTCTTTAATAGAAACCTGGAACAAGCACTGTTTGACCAATTGCCTAAGCATGTTTATATGTGTGCTTCCTTTTTCTCGGTCCTCACAGTTACATTCTGAAATTGATGCCTTTAAAACTGTGTGGGAGCTCAAAAGGAGAGAGATAACAAAAGGGGGTGCCCTGCCACAGATGTGCGGTGGGATGAGGGGCATGGGGGTGGGAGGGTTACTGGGATCAGTGGTGGTGGAGAATGGGCACTGGTGGAGGGATGAGTATTCGATCATTGTATAACTGAAACCCGCACACAAAAGTTTGTAAGTCTACAACTTTACCTCATGGTGTTTCACTAATAAAAATTTAAGGGAAAAAATAAATAAATAAAAATAAATAAATAAAACTGTGCGGGTGAGGAAAATCAATATCAATGTGATTATTTGGTGGGGATAGGGACCACTCTTAGCAGTGCTCAGGGATCACTCTTGGTACTCATGAGATCATATGTGGTCCCATGTATTGAACCAGGGTGGTGGTAATCACGTGCAAGGCAAGTGTCTTACCCTTAACCCCTATACTTTATCTCCAGCCCAATTTGTTTTTATTTGACCCACCTCATGTGTATAGAAATTCAGAATTCTAAAAAATAATGCTCATTAATTGTTTTTAAGTTTTGGAAATTCAAATAAAATCCAAAGCTAAAAGTAGAATGAGTCTATACAAGGCACACCAGATCAAAAGTTAGCACAATTTATGACTTCTACTCAGTCATAAATTTAGTTTCCAGGAAAATTGATTTAAAAAAACATTTTTCATATGTACATTATCCCTGAGGACAAAGCACACCAGTTTTTAGGAAGAAAGAAAGCATCCCCTTATGCTGGGTGTCTTGATCATGACAGTACCTGCTCTAGGCCAACTCAACAGCATCTCTGAAGAAAGCTCTCTGCTAGTCGCATATTTCCTTGAACCCCCCCGCCAAGTGTTCATAATGTGCAATGAGTATGAGGCGTGACATGTGTAGCTTCCCTATGTAGATTTATCTTCAGGAGACCCTCGGGGAGGTATATGCATTCCTGGACTGGCTGCTGGCCTGGATTGGTTGGTTTCAGTCATGAAGCTGGATCTGGACTTCTGCTTCCAGCTCAGTTTCTGTTGGAATCACTGGAACTGGGAAGAAGAGATGGGTGAAGAGGTTTAGATAATGCAGTTTACACAGTTTTCATAAATATTCCCAGCAGTGGAACTTGGAGTAAAATTAGAGGTAATTGGATGATTGTAGAGTCAGAAATGATTCTAGGAATACAAGCTCAGGTAAGTGGGAGCTAGTGGGAGGCTGAATCAGAACCTAATCACCCACTGTAGTCTAGGCTGCTGCCCAGAGGTCTGGAGAATTCACAATCCGGTTTATCTTCTGTGTGTCTGACTGCTACCTAGGCAGATGCCAAGACTAGGAACTACTAGGATGTTTTCCCCATGTCCCTGATACTTGAGAATTCCTCAAGCACACAGAGAACATAATAGCATCTCTAGGGGGACTTCCCATTCTGTTTTTCCTCTGACTCACTGTCCCCAGTGTTCACACTCTCAGTGTCTGCAAAGTAGATGTCCTTAAGAGAAAGGAAAACTGGCCCAGGGGAAACCATTGCATTACAGGCTTTTTAAAGTTGCACCAAGCGTTCACAATAACCTGGTAAAAGTGAATGTTTCTACATGCAAAAATAACATTGACAGCTGAGTCAGTGAGTACTTTACAGGTTTTCAAGTACTTGCAAAGCAATGTTAAATTTGATCACTCAGTCTCATGCAAGTATCCATAGAAAGAGCATTCCAAATTTTCCAGTACTTAGACAAGAAAAATCTCTCATCTCTCACAAATATGGGGTTTTACTTTTTCTTTAATTTTTTATACACAGTTAAAGTTATTCACAATTTTATAGTCATACCATGTTCCAACACCCTTCCCTCCACCAGTATACATTTCCCAACAC